ACCCCTCGCTTAACCCATTAATGAGGATATTTTATGTGGTTTGTCGGATAATGATGCTATTCCTAAATGACGATCCATTTTTAGTTGAAGTTTAATTCAATATTTTCTGTTTTTACAAATAACACATAATTAAGTAAACTCTTCATCCATAAGGCATCACATGCATCTTAATGCTTTAACAATTGAACACTATAGAATTTGAATATATAACAGGAGAGTTTCCGAACTAGTATTATGTAAAATACACACAAACACAGGAGAGTTTCCATGATGACTTGGCGGTTGTTTAACTTATTCTTTAATTTCAGTATTCTCTGAGATACAAGCAAAAGATAGTTTCCAAACTAGCATTCTCTAAGATACAAACAAAATATAGTTTCCAAACTAGTATTATCTAAGATACAAACAAAAGATAGTTTCCAAACTAGTATTATCTAAGATACAAACAAGAGAGAGAGTTTCCAAACTAGTATTATATAAGATACAAACACAGGATAGTTTCCAAACTAATATTATCTAAGATATAAACAAGAGAGAGAGAGTTTCCAAACTAGTATTATCTAAGATACAAACAAAAGAGAGTTTCCAAACTAGTATTATCTAAGATACAAACAAAAGAGAGTTTCCAAACTAGTATTATCTAAGATACAAACAAAAGATAGTTTCCAAACTAGTATTATCTAAGATATAAACAAGAGAGAGAGAGTTTCCAAACTAGTATTATCTAAGCTACGAACACAGGATAGTTTCCAAACTAATATTATCTAAGATACAAACACAAGAGATTTTCCAAACTAGCATTCTCTAAGGTACACACAAGCTCAGGATCTGATAGAAACTTTTAATGCTAAAATAACCACATTAAACTTTTTGGAAAACAGTCAAATCGTCAAATAAAATTAAACAATTAGAATGTCGCTTAACAACGTGACAAGAGAACGAAAAATTGATAAACGTAAAGAAATAACAGTTAGTGTTTAAATTCCCCGTTGAAATGCCTTCTTCAGGAAAAGAGAAGTGTTTAGGTAACGAACGTTTAGGTACAGAACGTGTATAGGTAAAATTAGGTAAATAGGCCATCGCAGTTCTAGATGTCTGATTAATGCGCATTTAAGTCGATCGTAACGGAGACAGGGTGGACACCTACTAACTGATTTATGTTTTATTCATGCCCGGTTTTCGACAGGATACAACACAAAGTTTTAGAAGTTTAGCAGGTGTCACTAAATTGGATCCAGAAGGGGCTACAACAGTCATGCAAGCTTTTTTTTCCACGTGTCTTAAAACAGTTTGGTCTCTGGAAAGTTTTACACAGTGATATCAGCGATTATGGGATTAAATTTATTAAGAACTGAGGAACTAAAGAAGTATTCGGTCGATAACCTGTTGGATAAGTACAGTGCATACAAACTTTGAAAGAAACCTAATTATAATAGTTATTCATTTGTATGAAGCTGCCCCCCCCCCCCAGTGGCACAGCGGTATGTCTGCGGACTTACAACGCTAGAAATCGGGTTTCGATACCCGTGGTGGGCAGAGCACAGATAGCCCATTGTGTAGCTTTGTGCTTAACTTCACACAAACAAACACCGTATGAAGCTTTATTAAATAGTTAACACCGTGTTCGTTGTTTTCGTGTATTAATGCACACTTCCGTGTATGTGTGTCAAACGTTGCATTAATAGAGGCTTTACTTTAAGAGCCATTTCTAGCGGATCCACAGCACTCTGTGTTCAGTTTTATATAACTTATGACTGACTTATTTACTTGAGAACTGCCCATTTGTTTCCGTTAAAAGCTGTATAATTCAACTGTGTTTAATTGCTGACAAAACAACATATAAATTGCAACGTTGAGGAAAAATGCAAATGTTATACGATTGCCTCATAGTTGTTTGGCGACAAACTTCTAACTGTAGAATTCGGAGTTTGGTCCATGCACCGGATAGAGCGCAGGCCGCCCATTGTTTGCGTTAAAACAAAGAATCTCCTAATTAGTACGTTATGAACTAACTTCAGTACTCATCTTTGCTGGCCATTCAGTTATTTTCTAATGATATCGAAAGCAAAAGAGCGGAATTAATAATTATGAGTGAACTCTTTATACTGAATGAGAAAGAAAACTATTATCAAAATGAACAGAGGAGAATAAATACTTAATAGTGAAAACCTGACATTGTTCTTACTATTAAATAACCTTGCGACGACACTTATCTCGTTTTTTGAAACAACCCGTTTTTCATCAGAGTGAAAATTAGAGCATGATAGAAAAGATAATCTGGACATTTGCCTCAGGCCTCTGATGGTGTCAGCTGAACAACGTTTCGTTACCAGTTATCCAGGGCGTTTAATGTACAAGGTCGTCCCAAAGGACTTTTATATTTACTTGTATTTGTTGCTTTCTTTTCTAAAGGGCGATAATCATTTATCAAAATGTGTCTTCTGTAAATGTTTTTTAAGATTATGACGTTGGTATAATAGGATTTATTTGGCTTAAATGGCACGCGTATGAGTGAAGACACATACAGAGGTTCTATTATTACGTTTTTTCTTTCATTGACCATATGTCTTAGGGTTAAATTACAGTCGCATTTTGGTTTTGGTTTCTATACTATTGGTAGTTCTTTTTGTTGGTTTTTTTGCAAAAAATCTTATGCTCAAATTTATAAGTTAATAAAATAGAATAATAAAAATAAATGCACTATATAATGTAATATATATATATTATTAGTAGACTCCACGATTCTATTTATAATATGAAGGCCTGCTTGGTTTTTGTTGAGCACATAGCTACAAAATCAGTTATCTATGCTTTGCCCACTGTCGGTATTGAAATTCGATTTTTACATTGGAGGTCAGATTAAAGTTTTTAGCTTACCTTAACAAAAGGAATTTAATTGTTAGATGTGAAGTATATGTTTTCATTAACATTTTCTGAAAAACATTATTAGTACTTGATGATATAGACACAAATGTAAAAAACAAATATTTAGCTTTTTTTAGCTAAAATGAAATTAAGACTGCAACATATACCATGACACAATTATAATTTGACCAC